CATAGGGGTGCAGATGATCTTTTCAAATTAGTGTTTTCATTTTCTTTGTATTTTTACTATTTTTTACTCACTTTCAGATATGAAAAAAGAGGCACATGAAGGTTAAATGGTTCACTGAGATCACTAATGTGGCCAGCATACAAATTTTCTCTGAGTTCATGCTCACTTCTACTTATTAAGGACAAAAAGTGAAGAAAATCACAGATGACTGCAACTGTCGGTTGGTGTTGGAAAAGTCCAACAGAATCTAACTGGTTAGGATGGGATTTGACTGAGACAATGAGGTTAACACTCTTGTTTCAGAGAGATCAATATTTTCATGTTGTTTTTTAAGAAAGATCAAAATCTAAGCATTGTGTCTCATTTCCAGTTGTTCCTAGCATCACACCACAGAGATAGAGTGTGGGAAGGGACCTAATGGAATTTGATTACACAGACAAAATAGAAAGAAGCCTATCTAGAAGACACTCCAAGAAACTTAGTTGAGACCTAGTTCTTTTTGTAAAACATAAACTCAGAAGTGGAATGCCTGTTCACCCATTATGAAGTAGCTGGGAGCAAAGGGTGGTGATTTAAAAACAGAATGAGTGTGCAGGTAACATGTAGATTTTGTCTCCACGGCCACACCTTCTGGAACAGATATGGCACACAAAGAGAGACAAGTAAAATGTTCTTCCGAAACTTTAATTTGCTAATTTCTAAGCTCCATTTCTTCCATGGAACATGTGTCCTAAGACTGAGGGTGAACAATGGGGATAGAGAATACTGAAAGTAGTCTCCTACATTTCTAGAAAATTATTTTCCCCATTCTGGATCATACTTAATGGGAGCAATTCTCGGTCTTCTTTGAAGACCTGTACTCTGATGTTGAAACAGCAGTAAAAAAAAAAAAAAAGTATATAGAGAAAAGATTAAATATGAACAGGAGTTCCTGGGCCTTCAGCATTCCCATATAATCAATCCGCTTCCCGGTACCCCACGCTAAGGATTCTACAAGTAATGGAGTCATTTCTCTGAAGAGCAACGCATGCAAATTATACTTATGTCTGCTCTCTCTGCACCCTTCTCACCTTCTCCCACCCCCAACTGTGAAGTGGGAAAGACAGTACTTAAGGTAAAAAGTTGAATCTGGAAGAAACTATGGCCTTGGCCCTTAATTTTAAGGAAAAGATGCTCTGAGAAAAATTCTATTTTGCTAACCACATCACGCAGCCTCGCCTTTAATTTTGCTAGATGGCATCTTCCAGGAAAAGTGATAGTAATGCCTCCCTTAAGCCCTCTAAGCCCCTCTCCCAAAGACCAGATAGGCCTCCTGCTTATTATTCTCACACAAAGAAGATGGTATAATATGCACTTCCCCAAAAACTGCTAGGGAAAGACAGCATCTTTTAATGTTAGGGGTGGAGAGATGAGTACATCAACCCTTTAAAAATCAGTCATTTAGTTGCCTTGACTTGGAAGCATGACACAAATATGTGCCTTTAGGTGAAACCTTGCCCTTGGATCAGCCCTAGCCTTACCTACTTCACTTTATAGTGGTGTCACTTAACGTAGAGTCCTTGTCTGGAGATTATAATTCTTTCTATCCTGCTCTTATTCATTGTGTGATTTTTGTCAAGGTACTTAGTATCTTTGGATGACTTTCATTGCTTTATAAAACGAGGGGCAGAACTAGAATTAAGCCAAAGGTGGGGAGGAGAAAGAAACAATCTCCCAGTTATTATTATGGTTTCCTGCATACTTTAATGACACTCGGAAGTGATCTCACTCAAAGGTGGACTCTGTCTTTGATTTAGGTCCTTAGAATTGAGTCCAGCATAAGATAGCATGGCTCTATCCCAAATTATGAAGAGAAAGGTTTACCTCCACTATGGAATCTCTTCCTCTATATTTGAAAAACATATTCAATATAGAGGAAAGGTCAGAGGTGAATGGGTTGTGCTTTAAGTAGTTTTGAACATAGATGCCATCTAGTCTTTGCAGTCTGCAAAATTCTTCCTTAAGTGAATAAATGTGTAGGGCAACTCTCCATTACCTTGATCAGCATCTAATACCAACCTGACACTTAGAATTAAATTAGAGAAACAAAATTAGATACTTTGAGACTTGAGGGCTGATTATACTACTAGAGCTAAGAGTGGATTTAAACTCTTTCCTTATCCCATTTAAATCTAACTAGATATAAACTCTCCATTACCAAGGAATAAAGGTGTGTCTGCAGAGGTGGAGGTTCCCCTTGATGTTCCTGGACAAGGAAACCTAATCCTTTCTTCTGACACACATGGTTGCAATAGAAAGCGTTCCCCAACTGCCAGTCTGGTTTTAATCTATTGTTTCAAGCAAGATGGGATTTGCAGGGAATGTTAAGGAAAGAGCAAAATTACCAGAACTTAATATAAAATAAAAGTGTTGATGAGAAATCAAATTTTAAACAAGTTTTCAAAATTGTAAGCACGAACATCTGTAGACATACAGTGCATGCCGTAAGTATAGTACTATACAGGTTTTTAAATTGTATCTAAAGTCTGCTTTAAGTACAACATTTATATCTCATTTTACTAAAGTTCGTTGGCTTACCAAATAATAGCAGTGGTGAAAGATTGCCAATAAATACAGTGATGTTTCACTTAAAAACACTTGGAAATGAAATATTCCACAAGAGAACTTCTCATGTAACCAAACTATTCCTGCGTTATGCAAACTTTTAAAATGTTAATCACTTTATATGCAAACATTTCAAAAGTGTATTATACAATTTTTCATTAAAAGATACCCTGAATAACACATTTTTCCTGAAGATTCAGGATTAACATTTATACTCGTTAAAATATGCTGACTGTAGTGCACTTCTTAGAAGAGCAGAAGACGGTGAGCTTACACAATGGTGAGCTTTTTCATGATATTTTCCCAATGCCAAAAGGTTTCAGAATGCCATTGTAAAAAAGTACAAAGGCAGACGAAACTAGCTTGCTTTAAATAAGTCTAGCGACTTTTCAGTCAGCTTTCTCCTGGATGTTAAAAACATACCAACTCTGACAATTAGTTACATACTTTGTCAAAATAAAATTTAGATTTAAAAGATGTGCCTGCTCTGTGCAAAGTACTATACTAGGTGCTGGGAGAAGAAATACAAAATAGTCCTTGTCCAAGGAGCAACCTGGCTGGCTGAGTGATGCTCGAGTCATCAAGTCACCACCATGATGGGAAACAATTTCTTACTTCTAAGTTTGAAAATAATGTACTTTAAAAAGTATAGATATTGAAGTTGTTCCACTTGTGCTCGGATATACCTTCTTCAATGGGAGTATGCCTTGGAAATATCTCCCATGTAAATATTATCAGTCACGTGAGTCATTGTAGATAAAAGACTAAAATTACTGCTTGAGGAAATAAAGTAGGCAGGCCTGTGACAGCTTTCTGCTGTAACCCTCCTTTTATTGCTAGGTTTTATCTTATAATCCAGATGGCTAAGCATGTCAGAAGTGTAACCTTACTAATTCCTAGGGTCATTTAATTTAATTAATAACATATCTGTAAAAAACTGTATTTTGATGCTTTGCTGTATATATGAGTACAAAATATTTAGGCATGTTTACAAGGGATACTGTGCATCTTTATAATGATCAATTATCACTTCTACTGGCAAGGCCTCTTAGCTGGGTTTCAGTAAAGACCAAATTTTTGAGGTTTTAAATATCTTTGGACCACTTTTTTTTTTTATTCTTATGTTAATCCCCATATATTACATCATTAGTTCTAGATGAAGTGTTCCATGATTCATTGTTTGTGCATAACACCCAGTGCTCCATGCAGAACGTGCCCTCTTTGATACCCACCACCAGGCTAACCCATCCTCCCAACCCCCTCCCCTCCAGAACCCTGTTTGTTTTTCAGAGTCCATCGTCTCTCATGGTTCGTCTTTGGACCACTTCTATTCCACAGATTCTACCTAGTGGTCTCAAAGAGTTCCTAACTTTCAATTACCATGCGTTTTGTAATTTGGATCGCTCTCCTGGGCTCCAGACCTACTTAATGGTCATCACATTTGGAACTACAGCACACCCCTCAAATTTACGAGACAAAACCAAACTCGACTGATTTGTTGAAGAATAACAGTTGATTTTCTTAGGTTTTTTTTTTTTTTGGCCTTCATCCTTCTAATTGCTTCCGTTTATTTCTACATTACACCAATTGCGCTTTAATTTCACCAGTAAAAAGAACCACTCTTAAGAGATTTTAATGTATGGTTTTAATTCACAAACTTTGTCTTAACCTGTTAGGATTTCAGTTGCTTTAAGAGTATGGGGATCCTTATTCCATTTATCTCTACCTCTCCCTGTGGAAATGTGGTAATTTTCAGTATTTGTTCAATGGATAAACACAAAAAAACACATAAAGGAATTCTGACTAATCTCTTCCTGTTACATGTTTACTGATAGGTTCTTTTCTGTCTGGGAGCTTTCTGAGCACATTAACAGAAGCAGAAGTACAGTGTTAACTCTTCTCATAATTTAACCCAAAATGCGAACAATTTCTTCTATCAAGTGTCACCTTCTGAAGCCTGCCTTGGATCAGGCTTAAGCGCCACAATCTTAACCACCACTCTTCCCCAATCTTGGGGTTTGCTTCTATAACACCTAAAACAGCGCATCATTTATTTGCCTGCTCTGCACTAGGCCGTATAAGATAGGCGTCTTTGTACCTTCAGCCCCTAGCAGATGGTAGGGTTTAACAAACCCAGATCGATTGTAGATCGAATGAATTAATGAGGCCACCTAAGTCTCAAAGGACCACTTACTGGGTAGGCCCCATTCCTAGAGACTTCTTAAAAGCTGCCTCTGGACGGCTAGGATCCGAAAGACAATTTACTTGACTTTCTTCCGGTCTAAAACGCGGCTACCAATATCCCCGAAAGAGATTCTCCCACCCGGAAGTCTCCGCAAAGACTAGGTGTCCAGGGGAAACACTAAAGCCAAGCCCCACCCCGTTCCTGTCCCCACCTGCTCTGCAAAGACCGGACTCCCGCACGCAGCTGCACAGAGGCAGGCCCGGAAGACAAGGGCGCTTACGCAGCAGGCAAAACAGCTACGACTCAGGGACTGGCTCTCTGGGCAGACGTCACTCAAGTCAATTCGGCTCCGCCTCCCTCAAGATGGCGATGCGCTCAATGCGGAAGGCGCGTGGGTGCTGGAGCTGCATCCGGGCACTTCATAAAGGACCCGAAGCTGGTCAGACTCCCCAGGTAACCACAGTTGGCCTTTCTCCCGCCAGCTTCCCATCCCGCTAGGTCCTTCTCGTCTCCCCCTCCCTCCATTGGTTTCTCTCTTCCCGTTTTCTCTGGAGAATACCGAGTCGTCTCTCTCCTCAAGTCTCCTAAGACTGCCTTCCTACTCGGAACGTAGCGACGTTGCAAGGATGCGCGATGATGTCATGCGCCGTGGTGGGAGGAGCGCATCTCCGCTTGCCCACTTGGCCTCGGCCCCTTTCCCTGAGAGCGGGGCACCGCTGCTGTTGCCAGGCAACGCGGGAAGCCGAGTCAGGTGTGAAGTTACCCCATCAGAGAGGGCCGGTCTTCCCCGGGCTGCCCGCCTTCTCGTGGTCCCATTACTATTTCGCCCTCCTTTCTGAGGGGCCCGCGGAGAAATCGGAGAGGAGGTCTTGTGAGGAATTGGACGATTTAAGTACGAGCAGCCACTTGATATCCTCATTCTGGCAGGGCGGCACTTCAGTGTCAAGTGTCAGTGAGTCTTACACTCTGGTTCCTCATTCCCCGAGGTAGACCTGCATAGACCTCCCTCTGTGAGGGAATTGCAGCAAGTTGCCAAAATGCGTCGTCCTGTCCTGCGCCTGGCAGCACTGCTGTCACCGTTACCGTGTCGTGCTGAGAGCGTGGGCACTGGCTTCAAAATTTAGAATTTTACCCCCGTCAGTATTTGGAATTTTACCCCCATGGTAAAAAATACCACCTTCGAGTCATTTAGATACTTACTTCACTCATTCAGACATTTACTTTTAAATGTCTTCCAAGTGCGATCTTGGTGGTAGGCACTTTGTTGTGCGTCTCTTGGGACGTATCTTCAGGGAATTACGAAGAAACTTAAGATTCTGTGATTACTAGGTGATTTCTTGGCATCCTTGCATATTCGTGGTCAAAATGCATAGGTGTGAGGATTTTGTGTGGTAACTGGTATATTGGAAAGAGCACTAGACTTGAAATTAGGAAATCAAAGGTCAAGAGATTGCCTGACACTTCCTAGCTGTGTGACATGGCAAGTCAATCTCACCGGATTTATTTTCTTTGGCAAAATGGGTGGAGGAAGGGTGGGATTGCTTGGCCCATTAATGTTCCTTCAAGCTTTCGAAAATCTATGGCTCCATGAAGCCAAAGTAAAGCAATGAGATTAATTATGAAAACCAAGATTTGAGTTTATCTTGTTTTTCCTGTCATCTCATAAATTACTTAATGCTCTGTACTTAAGTTTTCCTCATTGATATGGGCCTCACAAGATTCATTTAAGGGTAAAGGAAATACCAGAGAACTCTTTGTCAACAAAACAGCTACTTAAATGTTATTTTAAATTTTAGGCATCAATGTTAGGTAAGAATTGATTCGAAATTAGATAAATCCATTCAATACTCCTCTTTTTGAAGTTTGAAGGTTTGATTCTGCAGAACCAGAATTGGTTGTTTACTATTTTATAGCTAGATAATAGCATATTAAAACCTGTGGTACCAAAGTAACTAAACCTTAGATCCAAACTTCCTCTCTTTCCAAACCTAAGAGGTGAGGATATCATAAGAAATAGAAAATCAAAGAGAAAAGGAAAATAAGCTAGAGCCCACTAATGATTACCCAGGGAATTTTAGGGCACTAAATTATTATAAATGCTAAGAAAAAATGTCTTAAACCTCTGGTATTGTTTCAGTGGAATTAATGAATATGGGTATCTTAAGGTTAATCAACTGCTAATCTAGACAGTTTCAAAATGTAGAATTTCCAGAACAGATTAGTGTTTCCAAAACTTTAATTTATCTTTGAGTAGAATAGGAATTAAATATAAGCGAGAGCATTTCTTTTAAAGTATAAATCTACATGTAATTTTCAGTCATTAAATATGATGGTTTGAAAGACAAATACAGTCTTTTGAAAGAGCAACTGAGAAAAGATACAGAATTGTTTTCATAGTGTAATTATAATATTGTTTATAAATAAATATTTATATAAATATATGCACACAAAAAAAGACTGGAAGGAAACAACCAGCCTTAATTTTTTTTGTTTTGCTTTGGTCTTCCTGAATAGTGGATTAAAAGTCACTTAAATTTTCTTCTTTAAGCTTTCTGTATTTTCCACATGTTCAAAATTGAAGATATATCACTTTTAGACCCAGAATAAAGTGTTAAAGCATAAATCTCCATATAAATGCATAGTCATTAATAGCATCTGTGATATTTTAGATCTCTAAAGACCTAAAAAGATACTTGTCCCACAGTGTTATTATTAAAATGGCCTTAGAAAAGGACTAGAAATTTATGGGCACTTTTCGTGTATGTATTGTCTTTTTCTCTTGAAAAGTTTCCTTTGAAGTCAAAGCGATTTTTGTGAACAGATGCAGATATATGTGAAGGAAGAATTGGATTCTTAAACCAGATGCATTAGACGTTTTTATGATATCTCATAACTTTTGTAGAAAACAAAAATTATTTTGCAAGAGTATAGTCTAACAGAAAATACAATTTTATCATATGGATAATTCTATCAAAAGCTAAGAAATAGACAAGTTGCTTGTTACTAGTTTGGTTACACAGTTACTCCCTGAGGTGAGAGGCAAAAGTGGGTGGGCCAAAGCGGTGCTGTGTTGGAAACTATGACTGATAAAAGTATTGTGATTCCTAGGTTGTTTTAATGTTTTCTTTAAAAAAAAAAATCTTGAGTAATAAGGTTGGCATTGAGGACCTTTAGTTATCTCAAAGGCAGGCTTTTGCCCCTCAAGGCTAGGATGGGCTTAAGTTTAAAATAAAAAATAGAGAGAAATCAGGAATGACAGTGTTTCAAGCTGTACTCATTGTGAGCTGTCTACAATTTATGTGAAAGCGGTTTATTTTGCCAGGTGTTACCTCGCAAAAAACTGTTGACATTTGACAAGATGAGAGTAGTCACAGAGTCAGAGGAATGAAGATTTGACATGCTACATTTAAATACTGATGGCATTAGGTAAATTTAAGCCTGTCATCGTTGGCCAAACATAGAATCCACCCTTCTTGAAGCCCTAACTTATGATGGTGTTGTACCAAGAGTGAAATATTGATGGTTAGTAGACTTTTGCAAGAATATTTGTAATTATTCAGTGTAAAATGTCCACATTATATTGCAGTTGAACAACACACTTCACAGTTAGCTGTCCCAAGCTGGGTGTGGCCAATATTTACATACCGTTCCCAATGTTATTGGCTACCAAGTTTAGCCGTAGATGAAGGAATCATCCCTGCAAAAACAAAACAAAAACAAAACAAAACTAGGCAGTGTATTAAATTATTGTTCTTGTATTCAGTTCTCATGACTAGGCTTTTCAAACAATTGCTCCTTTTTTTAACTTCTTTTCTTTTAAAATAATTTCAGATTTACCAAGTTTGCAAAATTAGTACACAGTTTTCCTGTACATCCTTCACCAAGCTTCCTTTTACATAATCATAATACAATGATCTAAGCCAAGAAATAAATTTGGTACAATACTAGCTAAAGACCCATTTCAAGTTTCACCAGTTTGTCCACTAGTCTCTTACTGATCTGGGATCAAATCCAGGATCCCATGTTGCATTTAACCGTCGTGTCTCCTCCAATTTATGGCACTTTCAGTCTTTCATGACCTTGGCGCTTTTGAAGAGGATTGGTTAATTATTTACTAGAATGTCTCTCAATTTGGGTTTGTCTGATGTTTTCTCGTTATTAGGTTATGGATTTTGGCAAGAATACCACCAAAGAGAGACTAGACTGTTCATAACAAGGCCTTAAGGCAGGTATCAGCACCTGATTTTAAATCATGAGGAAACTGACTTTAGTTAAGTAACTAGCCTAAAATCACAACGCTAATTAATTGTGGAATTAGGATGGTAAAATTTACTATTGGGATTTCCTTCCCTATTTTGCAATTAATATTTGTTGTTGTAGGTTTCTGTGATCTTAATGACATTAAAATGGGGAAGTGTTCCCAGTGACTTTTCCCTTAGCTTGTCTCTGCTATGTATTGTCCATCCAACTTGCACCAAGAGCTAATCAGCATGGAGAGCTATCAGGAGCTTCTATAGCCATCATTTTGCAAGACAATAACTGGGCTGGTTTGAGGGGGCTATTTCATCTCTGTGCTTCTCTTAAATGGTGTTGCATGGACCCACTCGAACGCCCCTTTTAAGCTCAATCAGCCTAGGAGCCCATTCACTTAAAATCCTCTTTAGATTGGTTTTCCTTGAGAACTGACTTAGCTTATTAGAAATAATAATTTTTAAAACTATATTTGAGTAGATAATGGAAACTACTGATGGTAACTGATGAAAATATAGAGGAAGGAACAGTAAGTAGAAGCTGAGGATTTTTGCTAGTAACTATTCTGGCATCCGTAGCCAGGAAATGCTAAAGAGAGTAAGGCTGCTCCCTGAGATCCTTTCTCAGTCTACCCGTTGCATGGCTGCAGGTTACAGAAGAACTATCTGCAGAGCCTTACACAAGTATGTAGATTTAAGCCTATATCCATACATAACCCTGTCTTTCAGAAAAGGAACGGACATTTAGCTAGCACCTTCTATGTGCTAAGGCCCAGTGCTATGTGCTATACACACTTTATCTTATTTTCTTCTCACAACAGTCCTGTAAATATTATTCTACCCATCTTATAAAAGAGGAAACTAAGGCTCAGAAAGATTAAGTAACTTTCCTAAGTCAAAGCTAGTAAATGGCGGTACCGGGATTCAAATTCAGCTTCATCTGTGCTTTTTCCACCTGACCAGTGGTCTTCTCTTACCAAATAAAATCTTGTCTCAATCAATGTTAATGATAAAACATAAAAGCAGAGCTTTTCTGATTTCAGGAATAGAGGAGTAGCTAGAGCCCTGCCTGCTTGACCTCGCCGCCCCCACTCCCCCATACCACCCTCCCTCCACACACAAACAGTGGGCCAAGAGATGGTGCCACACAATCTTAAATTTCTTATGATAACATTTGAAAAATACTTCAGCTTCCTAACATAT